ATTTTATCCCAACTTAATAAATGGGAGTAAAAATGAAGGAAGTCGACCATGACTGATCTCACATCTAGTTGCCATATCATGTCATATGATCTTTCAAAAGAAAAGAGATGAGACCAAGAAATGAACTTGTGTTTTGAAAGTTCATCAAAGCCGTCAGAAAAATAATCTTGAACAAAGAAATGTTTTTCTTACTCAAAAATTACCTGTTCCTTCGAGTCAGCGAAGATAAATTCCAGCCACCTATAGTATCACCATTCACTGATCTAAAATGGACGGTCATTCAAATGCTATATCAACAGCCTTCTTTTTATGTCCTTAGGACGTCCCATTTGCAAAGAATTACGACAAAGAACCCATAGTATTAATAGCAGCCGGTCACAATTCAGAGGGCAACAATTTGAAGCCAATATACATGTCCGTGACCCCATGGATTGAGGTATTCTCAAATTATTTAACTAATATACAACGCTCTTTCTTCAAAATAAGTAAGATCAAGCTGACAACCCTGTAGGAAATGTGCAAATGAGCTAAATTACATCAAGGTCTATTCATGCAGTCTCTTTATCAGTCATAGTCGCCCAGCGAAAAGTTTTATCTATTTGTCCATCTGTTATTCAAGGTCAGTTTCCCAATTTTTTTTTTGTTTAGATAGGAATTCAAAATGACTCAGTTACAGGTGTTTAAGCGAACGTCTCTAAAAGTTGAGCTATTACTGTTTGTTCTCATGATATGCGCATTGCGGACAATGCGGGAGGAAATACCAATTCTTACTTTAGTTGTTCCTCGTACCGCAGCGGTCCCTATTGTGCCAATTATCTCTGGGTTGGATCAAGATACGGGAATAATTTCCGCCCAGATGAGTTGGAGGTTTATTATGAAGTGCTTGCTTGAAATTGGGCAGCAACAAAAAACAAAGGAAACAAGAAAAACAACAACAGTAACAGTAATAGTAGCAACAGTAACAAACCAGCGAAAAACAAACAAACAACAGCAATAAATAAATAAGCAGAAGATTCAACAACAAAATGAGGTGTTAAAGCACCAACAGCGGTTAGCCATAGCACCACTGGTTTTGTCCCTATGATGGACCATTTTTGTTGGTAGCATAGTTCCACGGTAGGAATTTGCTATAAGGGAGTGTTTTCCTTTGTTAGGACTTATCCCTGTTGGTGTTCTTAGAAATCTCGAAGGCGATTTTGTTTTGAACTGATCAAACGGAGAAATATTATTTGCGTTAATGGAAATCCCGTCCGAAATGACTAAACTCAGATAGGCACACGCAAATAGCTATTTATTTTTTTTAAATTAAAATAGTATCAGTAACCTATAAACTAAACAGATAGCAATAAAGAGTTTGGGTTCCCTGTAAAATATCTTTATTTTCTCTTACTGAGCACATATTAGTATTTTTC